AGTGTTATAGGTGAGAGGAATTAGAAATATCATTGTGTTTCTTCCCCTTCCTAATATCAGTTTTAGCATAATCCTCCTGACATCCCATAGTCAGGTATGTGATGAAAAATCCAATCCAGAAGGTTTCATTCGAACAGGGCAACCATTTTGTTTCCTGTTCTTCATTCAGATGAAGAATGTGCTCTTCCTACAAGACCATGAGCAATCTGACAGGAAACCAGTGGTGCTGGCTGGTTATGTATCTAGAGGAGAACAGACATTTGTTAGGAAACGATAGTCTCCTGCCCTCCCTTACGCCAGTACATGTGGTCTTCCTGTATACCTCTTTCATACCCCACAGTGTCCAAAGTCTGGGGTTAATGGGCAACATTTTTAATCAGCAAAGAAAGAACTTCAGGTCCATCAGGACTTTGAAGGGGTCTGCAACTCAAAAGTTTACTGGTCTTGTTTGCTTATGAGGGCACGAGGCCATCCCAGCCCATACTAACTGCTCAACCCTGTTAAAGGAAAGGTCGCTCTGTTGCCCAATTAGAGTCTGGGTCTCAGAAGTCAGTGCTTTATGAATAATTATAAAGAAGAGATGTGGAAGGAATTCAATGGTTTGTGAGTATCAGTGTGCTGATAGGACACAGAGATTGGAATAATATATCATAAAAATCATGAACTTCAGGTTTATTATTTTAATTATATTTGTTACATAAGTAACAATATAGTCACAGAGTTTAAAATTCAAAGGTGAAAATGTTATCCTGGATAAACTCTTCCCTCCAATCCCAAACATCACAGAGTTGTTATAATTAAATGAAATGATATGTATAAAGTACTTTGTATAATATTAACTCTCAATAACCATAAACTAAAGATAATAATGTAAGCTATTTATTTCACAAAACACAGATGCAGGTGGGCAAAAAAAATTACCTTTCTTTATTTTTCTTGTTTCAAGCCTATTTTTCTTGTTTTCAAGCCTTGTTTCAAGGATTCAAGCCTTGTTTCAAGACTCTATCTTGAGTCCTCATTCAAATAGACACAGAAAAGTTAATGTAATTGTTTTTGGGTAAGCCCAGTTAAATTCAGTGATCTCACAGCCATCATGAGTTATAAGCAAGTCACAGTCAAGATTTCCTTCTCCCTCTTTCTTCTTATCCCCAGCTGGTCTTTGTTCCAGTAGGGAGAGGTCTGTCTAACCACTGACTGGCTGCTATCAAATTTGCCAATGTGGTGTTGTAGGCTAGGTACCTATGTATTCTCAGCTGTGGTTTGCCTTGGCACTCTGATGACCCGCTGCTTCAGATATGCCCTGTCCTGCATCCATCTAAGATACTCTCCTACATACCAGCAATCCTCTGAGATACAACTCCATCTTTCCAGAACATCAGTGGTCCTGTGCATGGACTACATGCTATGGTGTTCCCTCATGCTGATCCCGAGTCTCTAAAGGCTTGCTCTTTCCCAGATATCTTTTGTGTTTCACTCAGAAGCCTTGAGTATTTTCAGATGGCCATCCATTTCCCTTTAGGGATATAGAAAACCCAGGGTAGCATCTGGCTCCATTGTGTTTGGCTACTATTTCTACCCCACTGTTGATATATAACAATGGATTATGCTTGCAATCTCTCTGCACTTCATGCCGGTAGCAAGACATAGGTCTTCTCTATTCTCAGATCCCCAATTTAAAAAGGGATCCTTTGTATGCCCCTACTAGATACTCTCACACTTGTGATTTGACAGATTAGAAGGATGTACTACTTCTATGCTGCACCTAACCCTCCTATTTCTTCCTCAGATTTCCTCTCTCTACTCAGCTTAGAAGCTTAGAAGCCTTCCTCCGTTGGGTTGGAAATGGAGGAGGACACAGATGGAGGGAAGGCAGGAAAAAATGGGTGCTGCTTATTCACAGCATACTTTTTCTGTCTTATGCCTGGATAATTCTTTCTGAAGCTGAGGACTTTGGTGTCTTTGCTCCCTGTTTCTGCAGTATTTTGATGATGGAAGCTATTGAGGGTACAAATGAACAATATATGTGAGGATATGCTTGGAAGAACATGTCCATTACTACTCTATATATCATCCCATACTCAGCCTATCGCTGCCTGTGCATCTGATTGATGTTTGTCCAGTAGGGAGCATGCTGTCCAGTAGTCCTGAAGAGAAATTTTGTTTGCTCTAAAAGGTAACTGTGGATTAAGAAGAGCATTGGCTTTGATCTAAGATGACCTGGGTCAAGTCCAGACACTGCCTCTTCATTGTTAGGTGATCTTGAGCATGTAATCCCTTTGCACCAAGGCTTCCCTTTTTTTTTTAAAGATTTTTATTTATTCATGAGACACACACACACACACACACACACAGAGAGAGAGAGAGAGAGAGAGAGAGAGAGAGAGAGAGAGAGGCAGAGACACAGGCAGAGGGAGGAGCAGGCTCCTGAAGGGAGCCTGATGCGGGACTTGCTCCTGGGTCTCCAGGATTACACCCTGGGCTGAAGGTGGCGCTGAGCCACCCGGGCTGCCCAAGGCTTCCCATTTTTAAAAGAGACCATCCTTTTAAAAGGATCATAATACTTTCCTCCTAAGGTTGCTACAAAAATTGGCAGGTATAGTCTCTGAAAGTGGTTTAATATCTGTAAAGCCCATTAAAATCTCAACTACAGTTTCCCCAAATCCTCTACTCTGTTAAATTGTCTTATTATTAAAGGTCATCAAATGAAGTGGGAAGAGAAAAGTTAACTATCCTCCCAGACATCCTTGAGATTACTCAAGTGATCATGCTGAAACAATGGCTGATAATGACACCAACATAAGCAGGTAATTCACAAAAAGAATGGTCCTATGACTTTCTGGTGTTCAAAGCTAATATCGAGTAGGATTTCAACAGTACATAGCAGACCCTTAGACAAATTTGAAGAAACTTAGCTGTGATCTGATATTTGACAAAAATAATTTTATGCACTTGCTATGGATTTAACTGCATTCTGCCGAAATTCTTATGTTGAAGCCCTAACCCTCAGTATAATGGTTTTGGGAGATGATTAGGTATAGATGAGGTCATGAGTGTGTAATCTCTTTCTCTCTCTCATTCTCTCTCTCTCTTTCTGCCTTGTGAGGATACAATGAGAAAGCAGCCATCTACAAGCCAGGAAGAGAGATCTCACCAGAAACTGAACATGCTGGCACCTCAATCTCAGACTTTCAGACTCTAGAACTGTGAGAAAATAAATGTCTGTGGTTTAAGCCACCCCATATGTGGTATTTTGTTATAGTGGCCTGAACTGACTAATATAAATACCCTTATAAATTCTCTATTTCTCCATGGTTGGTTCCTTCCCATCTGCCCTAGGCAAAGTCTGTTTATAGAGCTTTCTGTCTGCTACATTAGAAAGGCAAGCAAACATTTATCCCTATCTGTACACGTTTTCATTTCCTCCACCATGGAACTAAAATCCATCAAATACTTCCCACAACTTTACACTCTTAAATCCGCCTTCAACCAATACAGTCATTTGTGAGCAAGCTTCTGCATTTTCTAGTATGCATATGGTAAAGAAGTATCTTTCTCTTTCTTTCTTTCTTTCTTTCTTTCTTTCTTTCTTTCTTTCTTTCTTTCTTTCTTTCTTTCTTTCCTTTCTTTTTCTTATCCAACCAGTTCTTCTCTTATCCTCTTTGGTAAGTTACAAATTCTTTGAAAACAGCAACAACATCATTCTTATTTTTGAATGATATGCAACTCCTAGGTCAGACCCACTTGGGCTTTCATGCTAGTCTTTCAGTTGTCATCCCATCACTTAGTAGTTACATGAGTTGTGTTTTTCCATAACCTCCCTGAGCCTCCCAGTTTTCTCATTCGTAAAGTAGAAAATGTACCTAACTCACAAGTTTTGTGTGATCTTTAAAGAAAGTGTGGGAAAGTCTTTAGCACCTGGCTTGATTCTCAGTATGCCCACGTGTGGAAAGTATTTCTGATTTACCACCCTCAAAATGCAGCCCCAGAGAAATTAAGCATCTACACTTCAGGCAGTGGCTGGTGAGAGGGAACGGGATTCTCCTAGGGGCTGGGAGGCTCTACGCCTCTGCAGACACGGACCTGGACAAAGTGGGAGGGCAGTCACCCCCAGGGGAACACTGGGGATCTCAGGGATACTCAAGGACTAGTGAGACCTTGAGTCTGGGAGATAATGAAAAGCTCAGCTTGAGGTCTTGAGCCAGTTCTACAAAGTCTCTTGAGTCCAAAAGAAAGTCACCCTCATATCAGAACTCTGCACTCTAGAGCCTGGGAGTCCCTCTCCTGCCCCTTACATCCTTCAAATCCAAGTTCTGGGCACCCAGGCAAGGGTCTCAGTGCTGGGGCGTGGTCATGAAAGAGGAAATGAAGACACAGATTCCTGAGAGAGAGAGGGAAAGAGAGAGAGAGAAAGCATGTATGTGCCAGGGGTAGAGTCTATACCCAATGCCTTTAGGAAAAAATGTAGGGAAACAACACCACAAATACCAGTGCCAGGTCCCAGGGAAGGAGAAGCATCCTGAAACGAGGAGCTTATTTGAAATTGGAGAGGAGTAGGAGCAGCTCTAGGATGAGGATAGGAGGCCCCGGCAGCTGCTGCAGGTAGCACTGCAACTTTTAGGTTTCCTGAGAGATCAGTTGGAGTGTGGGGGCACACATGCAGGAGATTAGGAGCTGAAATGTTATCTCTGTAGCCATCCTCATGCTGTTTCTCTAAGTGAAATTTCTTCTCATCTCAGTTCTTTTATAAAACTTCTACCCCTGCACATGGCAGGGATTAAAATTTTCTTGATATCAACAGAGAGTCATTGTGCATGGGGCTGGGATCCTCTTGGAGCCTCCATGGAAGACCTGCTTCACTTCAAATTACATTCAGAATAGCAAATAATTTTTAGAATACATTTAATAGGAGCAGGACACTCATTTTAGTGTCCTGGACATGGTCCAGGGGACTGCAATCTAACTTCTCCATTTCATATATTCGTGTTTCTAAAATTCCCCAGAAAGGTCATTCCTGGGTTACAAGGAATTGTGAAGCAGGAAATAAGAATTCATCTTCAGCCCCACCACCAACTCCTGTGCTTCTGGGTCCCTGAGCAAGCCTCTCTCCAGCCTCTGCTCTCAGTTATTCCATCTGGGAAATGGGAATAAAAAACTCCCACTTGAAAACATGAAGATAGATTAGAGATGATATTTTGAAGGTGAGTTCTCATCTAGGTAAGAGAATGCTGCATATTTCATGGATGCTCCCAGGGACAAAATCACACACATGTGAAAGCCATCTTCCCTCCCCTGTAATTGAGAAGAATTGTAGAACTTGAATTGGGCAATTCGTCATTCTAATGTTTGACAGGGTGTGGCTAGTAATCTAAAAAATTGATCATTCCCAGCTAACATCAACAAGGGGTAAATACTAGTGGAATCAGTTGGCCTTGGAAGGAGGCAATAAAACTCCCAATAAAATAGCTCACTAAACGCTAGCCTTGGCTCTGGCTGAGATCTCCACACTAGGGCCTTAAAGTCTGATGAGTTTTTGGTGTTACACTTGGCAGCAGCACCACCTCCAGGGCCAGCAGGCCTTATAAAACTGCCTTCCCTCCTTCACAAGCCTGCTCCTGCTCACCATGCAGGGAATGTGTGCTCTGCTGGTCAGCCCACTTTTATAGATGAGGCCAATGTGGCCCAAAGGAGGTTTATAATTTGCCTAATGGTTAAGATTTGGGGGAAGGTTGCCTAGATGTAGACAATCTCATTCTAGATCTCACCTCTTTAATCACTTAATTACAGGGTATATCGACCTATAGCTGCCATGGGGAGCAGGCTCCTGGAGAAGGTACATAGAGACTGTGCACCATGTCACTGTCCTCTCAGACCAGCTAGCTTCATTCACTCAGCTTCATAGATATCCCAGTGAAAGTTGGGACTGGTGTTTCTGTTTTCTAATGGGGAGGCTGAGATGCAGGGCAATCAGGTGTCTCACTCACTGGTACTAGGCTCTGTGTGGTAGAGCAGTGATCAGAAAGCAAGTCTGCTGGCCTCTGCCAGACAGCCTGAGTCTCTGCAGCCCGGCCATCTACACCAGAGACACCCATCAAAGACACTTCTCAGCCCTCCCATCAGCAGACTTTTTTGCCTAAAGGTGACCAGCTGATAAACAGCTGAGTGAGGGACCTCAAGCACCAGATATAATGCCAGAAAAGGAAGAGACTTTAAGGAATATTTGATCTGGCCCTTCATTTCACAAATGCAGAAACCAGGGCAACTTGCTCATGGTCCCAAACTACTTGGTGAAGTGTGAGAAGTGGAGCCCAGGCCATCCTACAAGACATTTCAGTGCTGGGCAGTGGCATGGATCCGACCAAGAGCCTCTTATTGCCCGCAGAACTTCTCTGGCCCTAAGGAGACCCTGTAGGACTGGGTGCCGCCTTTTCATGGCACCCTTGCGGCTGTCGGTGCACAAAAGGCAAGCCCTGCCACATGGGGCAAGGCACTCAGCCTTGGGGCTTCTCCTAGGCCTTGTGCATAAAAATGATCCTCAGCAAGCCGTCCCTCCTGACCATCCCCCTCCCACTCCTAGCCCGAAACTTAATTAATCATGTTTGCATCTGGATCCAGACAAGACAATAGCAGGGATGTGTTTTTGGTTAGGAACTGAAGCTGCATTCGCAAAGGAATGTTGATTAGTTAGTGGTTGGTATCATTTTTCATGCCTTTTTAAGTTACAAAAATTTTAATATCAAAGCATTTCTCCCTGCACCGCACATATCTATTTCTCATAAGTGCATTCTGCTGGCATAATTTTCTTTTCCTTCCTGCAGGCTCTGTTTATGAGATGATCCATCAGGTTGTCTCAGAGTCTCCATCCAGCCCTTCAGCAACCGGAGGCGTTCCAGGTGAGCCGTCAGCTACAGCCCACAGCCTCTGCCCATGTGGGAAGGGAAGGAGGAAGGCAGGCTTAAGGCCTGGGCCAATCAGGGAGTCAACAACCAGCCACTGCAGGGATGGCAGGCTCTCCTTGCAGCATGTCCTGGGTCAGACTGAGCCCTCATTATAAATCCTGCTGTTCCTTAGAACAGGGGCAGACCCCTAAAGGGAAGAAAACTTTCCCAACCTCCTGTTCTAGACCCATAGATGTTGAGGTCAATCAATTCAGTCTCCAATTCTGCACCAGGAAAATATCCTCGATCCGGGAAAATCTCCTAATGCAGGAAGCATGTCTTAATGTGTACAACATGCCCATATGTGTAGAACATGTCAAGTTGCAGATGATAAGTCATGGCAGTAAGTAATGTTGGAAATATGTGGCAGAGCCGGAAATCTGTCTGCCCCACCGGCCCTCAAGCTAGACTTCCCTTTCAAACAAAGGTGATGGAGGGGTCATGGAAGACGGTGAGGTACTCTTCCTTTTGTTCAGTGGCCTTTTCTGCTTAGTTCCAAACCTGGCTTAGGCATGATGAGTACAGTTGCAACAGTATTGATCCCAACAGGGCCAACAAGAATGAGATGTTCTAAGAAGCTCAGAGGCAGGCATACCCTCCATCTGTCTTGGAAACCATCAGTATCACGTGGCCACTAATTCCCCAGACGTCTCCAGTTCCAGGGGAGAGGAGAGGGCTGGTTACAGGAAAGAATCACTGCAGGGAAATCAGGAATTCAGGGTGTGTTAGGGGTGCATTGGTCCCCAAAGCAGTTTGTGTTTGCTATTTGAACCGATTTGTTAATAGTCCCAGATGCTTGCTCTCGCTACTGACTTTGGCAAAGAAGGTTGATTGTAGGATAGGATGATGAAACTGGTGGCTGACCTGGAGACTGAAGAGGACTCTGAATAACTAAACAGCAAATTCAAGTTCCCAGAAATAATTGATGAATTACCTCATTGTTTATTCAGAAAATAAAGTGCCAGCTGGGTGACGCAGGCTACACTGGTCCCACTTCACCGTGGGGTTCTGCTTGACTTGGCCTCATTCTTCCTCCCTCCACCCCCAGGACTTTTTCGGAGACGTGACCTTAGGGTTGGATAGGCACGAGGGTGCCTCGTGCTCTGAGGAAAGATTTTAGTATGTCCAAGTTTACACTCAGAGGTACACATGGTATAGAGCAGGAGACAAACCTGGCTTGCTGCCTATTTTGGTGAGTAGTTTTACTGGAACAGAGCTGTACCCATACTATGGTTGCTTTTATGCTACACTAACAGAGTCAAGAAGCTGCGACAGAGACCGTAAGGCCCTCAAATTCTAAAATATTTACCATCTGGCTTTTTACAGCAAAAGTTTGTCCGGGTATAAAAAATTTGCCATTTCCATGTAAAGAATCAGTGGTCCTATAGGGAGTGTCCTCAGATTTCCTGATTTTCTTCGCTGAGACCCAAACCACAGACTGACCTTATTAGAAAGTTCTTTTGTCTTTAATATTTTTAATCTTTGTGATTCCTGCCCCCTGGTGGAAGATGTCTAAAATATCAAGTGGTGGAGATAGAAAGCAAAGGAGGATAAATACCTTCAAATCCTTGACCCAACAATGTTGTGCAGAAACCAGAGAAAACCACAAGCTATCAGACTTCACAGAGCTGATGGGAGTTCAGCACTGTGACCCTGTTGAATGGTCATCTGTGAAACGCACAAAAATCAGGTAACTTGCACTCATTTATTTTATAATTTAAAAATACTTATGTACTGATTCATTGGTATTTACCACAGATAAAGGTCTGCAAAGCACGCACAAACAAAACAAAACCTTTCAGATATTGTGATAATCTAAAAATATCCTCTGGGGAAAACTAACTATTATGTAAATACTCATTCTTATTGTCATCTGGACAAAAACATAGATGTTTTTGTAGTACTGTTGGGACTTTTGGAGGCAAGTGAATACATGAACAACAGAGGGCAGAGGTGTTGGGTTTTTTGTATAGGGTACAGTCTGGATAACCACAGTCAGCCTTACTGGAAAGCCCACATCTCAAACATTCTACTCTATAAACTTGCTTTTCTGGGGAGGCTGAGGGGAACTTGGTGCCTTGGTAAGTACGGGTGATGACACGGTCCTGGGACTCCTCACAACTGGGTTCGTGAAGACTCTCCCAGGCCACTCTCCCAGATGCCTGTGTCCTCAAATCACACATAAAACCATTCCCTTGACTCCCTCCTGGACCCCAGATCTTTTCCCCATTCTTGTTGGAGTGCTAAGTGAGACTTTCAGAGTATCAAAGAATTTGCCAGAACTGAGTATGCCTTGGCACCTTCTCCTGGATCACTGTCTTCTTGGACTACATACACCATGGTTCAGGAGGGATGGGTTGGACAAAGATGAGGAGGGTCACTGTGTTCACACAACTCATGAGAGTCAAAGAAGAGGCACCGTAATAAATCTTCTGGGAAATTTTCCAAACTGACAGTGGGATCTGCAATGGAATGAAGGAACATTGTAAATTGCCACAGCTCCAGTTCAGCTCAGCCCAGAATTACAGATTTCACTGGGGGCTTGCTTGGTGACAAGCACATGTAGAGTGTTGAGTGTCAGGAAATCTGGGAGGAACAAGCTCCTGGCCTTGCTTTGGAGGCTCTCACTGGAGGCCACTGGCCTTGGCTTTGCCAGCTGAGGGGCATGAAGCCTGTGGCAGGAAAATCTGAGGCAACGCCAGGGCTCTGTCTGGAACATGTGGAAGCCCTGATTACCTGTTGTCCCTTACTCTTAAAGCCCCTTCCAACTCAAGGTTTAGAATTATCTCCTAACCCTCAATCTTGTAAGATGGGATTGTCATTAAAAACATGAGGGATGGGTCTAGACTTTCCAGATCGTTGCTCAGTGGGAATTACATTTCCCTCACAAGAGGCCTGTGAAAGAAGCAACCTTATTCCCACTTTACAAAAGGGGAAAGTAACTCAGAATGAGTAATTGATGAGCCCCAAATCACACAGGTTAGAAATGGCAGAGCTAGAAATCCTATAGCTCTGGACCATCAGTGTCTACAAAGAGCCCCAAGGGAGGCTTGGAAGGGGAAGACAGGCCACGGAAGGGCAGTTCAAGGGGGGAATCTTCCATAATATTGTGCAGTTGCCCTCCCACATAAAGGATCTCCAGAAGAGGGAGCCACTGGGGGCTAAAATTCACTCTGCGTTCTGTTCCTTTGGCCATGTGTCCTGGCAAGGTACTCAGCCCTCTGGAGAAGGTCCCCTTTCCTAATATGCACCAGAAGGGCACTGGGGGCTCGTGCTGGCCCTGCTTGTGGGTGGACATGTAGGGCGGGAGGGTGTGGAGAGGGATAGGTAGGTCCACCCCCTAGCTTGAGGGCGTGAGGAGAGCTGTGGACTGATCTTTTACATTTATCATAGCACAGCTTTTATTGTTGTGGCTTTACCTGCTTCCCTCATTCCTTTCCTTCCCTGAATACCTATACAAAGTCTATATGAAGCAGAATATTTGTTCATAAAATGTTTTTTTCCAAGACCAATGCAGAAGATAGAAAAGAGGGATGATGCGTGACAGGAGAAAGCATATTGCCAATTCAGACATTAAGAAAGATATTGCAAATACAATTTAGAATTAGCCTACTTCCAAATATCATAGTAGAGTGGAGTTCTAGGAAAGAATATCCAACAAATATTTCCTGAGTGTTGTGGGTCCAGTATTAAGCCTATACTCTAGCTTCAGACAGAACAATTAGTAATAAAAGCACTGGAATTGATCAAAATCACAAGTCCCTTTCACCAACTTGGGGTCCAAATGCAGTTTAATCTCTGATTTTTCAAGCCTCTCCCCCACGTACTCTGTGAACAGTGAATCCAGTGTTGTCTTCTTTCCTCCATCCTCACCCTGAATTGTTCAGGAATGCTGGGGACCTCCAGTTTAAAGATACAAGACCTGAAGTCTGGTCACTTGCTATTGCTGTTCATGTTGCTGCCCTTGATGATGCTTTTGAACTTGGAATTGCTGGTTTAGAAGCTAACTTGGGTCAGGCTGGTAGAATGTGGCCCACCATTGCTGTCCCGGTTATAGAGATTTTAGGTTCACATTCTTGTGTTCAGCCATCTGCCCCCCAAACACAACCACTGTGCCTAGCAGGTGGTTCTGGAAAAGCTTCCAGCATCAGCCATACCATGTCACATCATCACCAGACCTCCTCTGCAATTCTTTTGGTTATTGTACTGAGCTGGGGCTATGACCCCAGGTTTCCCTCTTTCTTAAGTTTAATTTTGTCTCTCTGGACCAAACATCCCTCTCTATCCACAGACCTTGGTTGGGAGTGCCCCAGTCCACTCTCTCAGGTCTTCCTGTGTTCAGATGTTGGGAGGCAGGAGTTGTCAGTCTTAGCATCTTATCTCCCAGAAAGTTCCTGTGCTTCTCCCCACCCTGCAACCCATTCAAATTGGAACATTCTGTAATGTTGCATTGGACTTGCCAATGTAGCCACTGGATATGCCATTGGATACATCTATCCATTGGATACACCTCCACTTTAGGACTTTGCATGCCAGAGGGTTTACAGACTTAGCAACCTCACCCTAGTAACATAAAGTTCTTTTATCTCCGAAGGTCAGAACATGGCAGGCCTCCATAACCAACGAGGGCCTTTAAATTACTCCCCCCACCCCCAGAAAAACTAAATCCTTCAGATGACCGAGAGTCTCTACTTCTAGATATAAGAAAAGGTAGATTTTTTTTATCGCGGCCTTAACAGAAGCCCTGTTACGTACACTGATATCATACTTCCGCCAATTGGGTGACAGAGCAATTAGAGAACAGGAAAATCCAGGCCAAGGGCTCCCAGCCTGTCTCCAACATTTCCCTGCTCCTTTCTGTGGCCAAGAGAGGCGGTGCTCACTGCTCCTTTGCTAGCTGTTTCCCACTAGCATCATCCTTCAGAGCTGGGTTGGCACTTTACCTCCTTTTTTTTTTTTTTTTTTAGATTTCATTTATTTATTCATGAGGGACACACAGAGAGAGGCAGAGACACAGGCAGAGGGAGAAGCGGGCTCCCTGCGGGGAGCCCCATGTGGGACTCCAGGGACCCCCGGATCGCGCCCTGAGCCAAAGGCAGACGCTCAACCGCTGAGCCACCCAGGCGTCCCGGCACTTTACCTCCTGAGTGAATCGCATCGAGCACGTTCAGTGTGGGTTATTATCGCAGACGAGGGAACCGATAGAGGGGAATTAGTCGCTTCCGCGGGGTGCCGCCATCTAATGGATTCCCATACACGCTGACTCCCAGCTCCGAGCCCCTAAGTCCCCAGCGCCAGATGTGATCCTAAGAGACGTCTCGCTGGTGCAAGAGCCAGGGTGCGCGGTGCCTCCAGGAGCCCCCACCCCAGCATCGAGCTGGGAGGGCGGTGCGGAGGGACCGCGACCCCCCGCCCCACCCCATCCGCGGCTAAAAATGAGGCCCGGGCCCCGGGCGAGCCTCCCCCGCGGCTGCCAGCCACAGAGAGAAGGCGCTGGCAAGAGCCCAGAGAGGATCCCCCACATGAAATATATCGCTTGCTGACACTTTTATGACCTGGGCCCGCTTACAACACACAGGCCGGTGCACAGCTCTGCGTTCCCTGCCCAGCTTGAGATCACATGCTCACCCTGCGGCTGCCACTTGGAGTCAGGAAAGCCCATATATTTCCCTCCTCAGATAGGCCTAGTGGTTCTAGTCAGGTGCAGAAAGCCAATAAATCACCAGCGAAGTCTCGGTGTATCTCTCGGTCAGGAGGCTTGTCATCTTCCCGGCCTTGATCCACATGAAAGCCGCCCGCGCGGGGGGCGGGCCCGGGCCGGGGCGGGGCGCCCACACCTGCAGGGGCGCGGCCGGCTCCGCGGGTGTCCAGGCGCCCAGCACCTCCTCCGCTCCCGCACGCGCCCCCCTTCGCTTTGATGTCCGCGGGCCCGGGATGGGGGGGCAGGCCTCCAGCCGGGGGGAGGGCGGCGGGGGGATGCCAGTATCCCCATCAAGTCCTCGTTGCCTTGCAGCTCCTCCGGGAGCGGGAGGACGGAGGGCAAGAAAGGCGCTTCCTGGGCGACCTCCCGTGGCACGAGGGAAGGCAGGGGACGGGGGCTCACGCCACGCTGCCCTGCCTTGACATCCATGCCTGACAGGGTGGCTTGGCGGAAAATACACAGCGGCAGGAGGGGCGGCCTTGGGTGCCAGTCCCTCCAGGCAGCGGGGCCTCTTGGGTCAAGTCGCTTTCTCGTGTGTGTCCCCTTTCTTCCGGAAAGCAGCGGCCTGGTCCTGCTACCGGAATCCACACATCCTTTATTCATATCCCACATCGCCACTTGCCTCCTTTGGAAGCTAGTACATTTGCTAATATTCTGTACTTTCAATTCCCTCGTGTGTCAGGAATACAAACGCCCTTGTCACAGAGCAGGTGTAGGAGTTAAATGAGGCACCAAGTGCAAACGGCTGCACCTGGTACCCTGTGTAGTAAAATCGTGTAAAGGTGATAGTTGCATTTTTATTATTCCCTCGTTTGTCGAATGTTGGTTTTGGACGAGATGCACTGTAGGACCAGGTGGCCTGCTCAGGCACCTGAGCCCCCACTTCTCATGCTTACAGTTATCATGAGGATCCAAAGGCCAGAGGTCTGGGAAGTCTGACTGCTCAGGTTGAGTGCCTCACTTCCTAGGCATTTGGAAGGCTCCTTCTA